TGCCCGTCTAAACATACCAACAAATATTTAAATCGGATCTTTTCGGAGTTTGTACGTATAAGCGCCATCTGCGCGTTATTTGGATACGCCCATGTGCGCCATTTCGAAATAAGAGTTTTTTTTTTTTAAATCCAATACCGTCAATCTTTGGGGTCGTCTAAAGCGGGGCTAATCAAACTATAGAATTTGATGATCCCCGGCGAAGCAAGACAAGAATAAAAGTGAAAACTTCGAAAATACAAAAAACGGCAGTCTAAACCTACCTTGGATACGTTAATTAAAAATGTCGGGAAAGCAATTTTGCTTACATATAATTGTTTTAAGCCTAATCTATCCCTAATATAAGATGATTCTAATCCTACAGTTAATTCACTAAATAAAGATTATAAGATCTACTCCACTTTAGACGTCCCCCATAAATGTATGTAATTAGGAAAAAGTGCTCTTACGGAATGTGTTCTTTGGAATTTAATCTACATATAATGTTACGTTACCAGTGTAAAAATTTCAGTTTGAAAAGTATGTGCTCACTCATATGATCACATGCTTTCTTAATATTAAAATAAGAAAAATTCATGTGCGATCCTCACATGCACATCGAATTTTTTACATTAGACGGATCAAATGATGTGCACTAATAGAAAGAAGTGTACGTGAAGTGCACTTATGCAAAGGAAGTACGTGTGAAGTGCACTTATAAAGGATGCACTTATGGAAGATCGGCTGTGTATCATTTTCCAACAATGATTATATGCTACTCCGCGTTAATTCGGAACGCCAATGGATGCTAATTCGAGACCACATAAACTATTTTTGAAGGATCCGATTTTCAAAATAACGCCCACGAGCGTTATTTCGCGTTTATACGGCGTCAAAAATTTCTTTGAGTAATCCGAGTTTATTAGTCTTTATCCATACTACTTGATCCAATTTTTGACTCATGACTATCAGAAACTGTCCCGTACTGTCTCGGTAAGAGCTTTAGTAAAATTATAATCTATCAATATGATTACATAGGTACAATTTATAATACACATTAAAATATTATTTTAGCAAATTTTGCCTATTTTATCCTGACCCGTTTGACCCGGGTTAGATTAGTTTTCAACCCGTGACCCGTCGGGTCGGGTGACCGTGTAATACCATTAATCTATACAAATTAAACAGTAATAAAAATTTAAATCTAATATAGCAAAATATCTTTAAGCAAAGTTATTTTAATTATCTTTGCAGTATAATTTCACACAACCCAATAAACTGTAATATATTTTTTATTGGAAAAATAAAGTAAATCAGAAGGCCTGCTTAAAGCTAATAATAACTTTGATAAAATTTTGTTAGTTTGGCTTTTGGCAAGAACATTCTTTACTGATTGCTTGTTGGCAAAAAATGATATACATATAGTCAACTTTGCTTCTAAGTAAAGTCTTTGGTTTGAAAAACTATTTTGTATAGCGAAGGGCAACATTCTTCTAAACCTAATTATGAAAAAAAAGAAGCTTTTCGTGAGTAAAATAGTGAAACGTTGCAATTTGAAAAGGTACTTTAAATTGTATAAATTAGTTACCCGGGCAATTGAATCAAATCAGCCAATCAGACGAATATCTTCCTATGAGGTTGACAGAGTCAGTAACAATTAGAAGATATGCGATAAAGCGGCTATCCATTAAACATTAGCTGCAAGTAGCAGTGGTGCACAATCGGACATAAAATATTGCTAAAAGTCTACATTATCACAGTAATTCTAATAATGGCGGCGACAATGATGTTTGATAATTTGGAATCGCTAAAGCATTAATTTACACATTACATAAATTGTATTCTTGATATCTATTTAAAAGAGTAACCATGACGCATCAAAAAAAGTAATTTTTGGTTAACACCACTTTAGCCGACATCCTAATTTGGATTATTATTTTCATAGACGCATTGACATAATTTAAATTTAGTGATTTCTAAACAAATTTTTTCGTGCCCTTCTGAAAATGTAACTTTTCAATCGCTCATTTCACTGCAAATAAAATTTGATTATTGTTGTCATTTTGTAAGAACCTAACATTTAGTGTAAAAAATAATCTCAAAACTGAAAAACTTAGATTATTGCATATGAAGTACGAAATAACAGAGTAGCGGAAGTTCATTTTGATTGGTTGTTAAGTTACCCAGAAAAAATGTCAATCACTCTCCAGATAGAGTACTGGCTAACCCAGACAAAATTTTATTTACTCGTGAACTTTTAAAAAAATTAGACAGTACTCTCTAAAGACATTTATTGTAAATTTGCAATATACTAATTCGGTTTTATATTAACAATTTTAATTTAGATTTGACAAGGTTTTTATTGTTTTTTTTTAGCAATAAATACATATAAATGTCTATTAAAATAACATATACACGACCGTTTCTAAACACCACCATTATTATCACTTACTGTATCATAAACATCATATTCACAAACTATCTTGTATCTAAATAATTATGTTAAAATACTCAGAATAATAGTTCAAAATAAAAAAAAACTAGTTGAAGAATCTTTCCAATTGTTTATTCAAGCTAGTTGTTACGTTTTGTATTACAAAAAAAAAAAAGTTTCATATGACACCGATTTTTAACTATTAAAAGTACTTTAAAAATTACAACTGCTACGTATATAAAGAAAGATCGTCGCTAATCATATCTATCCTAATATCAGCCAATCAAAACAAACTTCCGCTATAACTGCTGTATTTTATGAACGATGATGATTGGTTGGTAACCCAGCCGGTTTAGCTGAGTTACCGAATGATCAAAAGAGAACATAAAATACAGCAGTTATTGGTTATGTAGTATGCAATAACAGTTTTATTCAATGAGTTTACTATTTCAGCTTATGGAATCACATAAAAAATACTATAAAACAATGATTGTCCAATTAAATTTAAGTTTGGTTTTGGACAAGGTTTTGACACGGTGTCCAAAAACCAAAACTGTCCAATTGCCCAACAATGCAATAAAATAATTGATTGATTTTATAGGCCGTTAATAATAAGGCATTGGATAAAAGTACGCTATTATTATTGATTACTATAGAGAGATGCATGTACTTATAAGCAGTAATAGTTAAATAAAAACAAGAACATGTTTAGTGGAAGTTTTGATCTAAAAAAGGCTTTATACAAGCTAAAGCCATCTACTAATTTAGATCACTACTGCTTTTATTTAAACAATTTATTTGCTAAAAACATCGTTATTTAATAATAAAATAAACCTAAACAAATCTCATAATGATAGCCAAAACAAAGTTGATACAGCGGTATTAAAGTTTGATTTGTGTTTGTTACACGAAATACTGCAACGTCATTGGTTCTAAATTTTGAGTTTGGTTTTTACAAAATTCTATTGACTCCGGTCCTAATTTAAGACCGGGTGCATATTTAAAAAGAGTTGTGTAGCATTCTGTCTTTAGCATTATTTAATACGTATAATGCTCTTATGCTAGTAAGTAGCCAATCTAAGGGCTGAAAATAGACACACCTCCCATTTGGTTATATAGTACAATTATTGGTTGAAATAGAGGTGCGAAATGAAATTCAAAAAGGAAATTAAAACAATAATTGATCATCAAGTAATATTGTTGCAGTTTCTTTTTTGAGTTTCAGTTTGCACCTCTAGATTGTGAAGATAAGATAAAATACACCAATTTAGCTCTAATAATTATACGAGGGTAGAATTGTTATCCGGGTCAGGTTGGCCTGTACGGGTCATCGTATTGACAGGTCACGGGTAGGGATAGGTTCGGCTACGAACGACTACGATTATTCATAGCTAATTTGCCAAATACTGAGATGATTTTTTATTTTTGAGACTTTAATCAAAGTTGTTCAGAACTAAATTCTATTCATCCCAAATTATAAGTGAAAAGAATGATACCTTCTCTGGAGCTCAGAATTTTAAAATTTGTTAACGTCATAACCGGCTACTAACCGCCGGCTAATAGCCGGCTATGACGTTAGCAAATTTTAAAATTCCGAGTTAACCGAACCCATCTCTAGTCACGGGTCAAAAATTGCTTTGTTCCGGGTCAAGAAAATGAAATAACTCAAATTACGAGCAAGGCTGAGAAATTTTGATAAAATCCAAGATATTCCAATCTGAATATTTATATCTCAAGGCAATCTCAAGCACATATACCGATAAAATACAACTTAAAATTGTAAGCTTTATCTTGACTCGGATCATAACCCGGGTCAAAATTTTTTAATCCGGTAACAGCTCTACACGAGGATAATATAGCAATGCCATTAAAAAGATTTTCAAGATCAGCGCAGCAAGAAAAGTGGATGTAATTGGCCTATAAAAATGATGAGAATCAATAAAATGATTGTTTTGAAAAAGTATTGGTTATCATAATAAAGTTCTATATCTTTATTTTATGGTATGTGGTTTTATTTTTTAAGTATTTTAAAAATATTTTATAAAATAGAAAATGATAACCAACCATATAAATGCTGTCCATGATTATTCAGCGATTATGTGCAGATTCTGACGTGCAGACTCTCTGACACTATCGCTATTCCCAATTCTATACTCCGAATACTTTTTCTGCATGTGATACAAACCAAAAAGGGAATATAATGATTTTTAGGTACTGTATAGAGTTGATTAGGATTGGTCGGGATTCGTGGTAATAATGAAAATAATGAGTTATTTCATCCCACCATTTTTAATTGCAGATTTAAACACCCATCTTCATATATTTGCGCTCTCTTTGCGCACGTGTCGGACTTATCCGAAGTGACAAGTGACATTGTCCAATTAACTATTAACTCTTTTAAGGTTGTATTACTTGCACAAAAGAATATTCGGCTGTGACGAGTAACATGTCAAATGTACTGTACGCCATCAAATTTTGTCTCGGTTTAATCAATATAAACATACCTAAGGATACAGATTAAATCTTTATACGTTTGCCCTTTCTACTTCAACAAGAAAACGTATCTTAATAAAAATAGTTTTCGAGTATGAGTATTAATGAAAATTCAGAAATCACCTCGGTTTTTCATGTTCATTTACCATTCAATACGGATTCGTACAAACTCACGGTTTTGGGTAGTTGCGAAGCTTTAGGCAATTGGCAAACTCCTAAAGTATGGCTTTACCAAATTCCAAATTCTACCCTTTGGGTATCTGATCGTGTGCGTTTCCCAAAAAACTTAGAGGTTCAATACAAATATTGTTTGGTTTCACCAGAGAATGTATTAAATTTTGAAGGTTATGAGCTCGCAACTTGTAGGAGAATGGAACCTCGTGGAAATCTTTACGACATTTGGAGCGATAGCACCGAATTTAAAAAAGATCAATTTTCAAATGAAGATTTTGTATTTACCGATTATATTTACAACAACATAAAATCTCCCTGTAGCTTAAAGAATGGGATTATGGATTATCTATATGTTTTAAACAAGCATTGGAGAGGTCTTACAGAATTTGAAAAAATAGTCAATTTCATTAGCCAGCACTTAAAAACAAACAAAACTAAAGAACAAATACTATTTTTATACGTTCTTCTCGGCTATCACATAGAACAAAATGGCTGGTTACACGGATCTAATCTTCCAGATGGTTTCCAATCTTCCATTATGATAAAGGAATTTAAAAATATCGATGATGATTTTAGCCTACCTTCCAATACAAAATTCTTGGTCGTGAATACCATTAACGCATTGATTCAACATAACTCTAAACACGGTTCTTTAGATTGGATCAAAATATTTGCACTTGCACTTAAGTTTGATGCATCATACTCATTTATTGATTCGATTGAAGCATATGATTATAAAATGCAACCTGATGAACCTGACGATTTCATAAAATTATTAGAAGTATTAAAATCTAGTATTAATGATCTTAACAATGCTGGTGCGTTAAACAAAATGATGAATAAACTTGTTAAAATATCATATGATGCGGAATGTCTTGCATATATGATGGAATGTTTTAAAGAATTGAAGGGTAGCGTCAATTTTCTATATGCAATTCGTAGGAAGCTCTTGGAATTGCTTGAGAAAAAGAAGTTAGATTGGAATGATAAGAATATTGTTTCACTCCAAAAACTTCTTAGTGATCCTAATTTGAAATGGCACCCTAGAGAATATGTAAGCGTGCTAGAAGCAATTGCAGAGTCTGATCAAATAATTGTGTTGGAATATTTTCCTGGAATTTTTAGATGCATAATGGAATTGAATCCGAACGCAATTAAAAAGGAACTCGAGCAAGAATCAATCAAATGGTTAATAAATATCTGTAAACAAAAAGGAAGTTCAGCTCATAACATCTTCCATTGTCTCTCAACAATACATTCAACTTCAGCACATAGCCAAGAACTTTTAAACAAATTTATGAATCATAATATTGTGATGTCATTATCTGATGACTCTGTACTATCGATTACATCACGTATTAATGTTAGCAACTTTCATGAGGATATAATAACTCATTTTATGTCCTTATTAAAATTCCGAGTTGAACTTCTCATTCGGGATCCTGATGAGCGCCTATTGAAAATTATCATGCAAATTTGTGATAGCGAATCGACTTTAAACATTCCAAATAGGTATAAAATAATTTTAAAAATAATTTCATAATCAATCGTTATACCTTAAACTAATGCAAAATTTCCCAAAATTTAGCTATTGTGAAGAAATTATATGTTTTATACTCAGTCACTTGCAACAAGATAAAGTCGTTAAATTTCCCGAAACGGAATTATTTCAACTTTCATTATTCCAATTTGCTAAATTTTGGATGGCCATATTTAAAGCAAAAGGTGAAATTCAAAAGTTGCGTTCTCATCCATATTTTAAAGAAGCATGTAAAACAGTCACTCTTATGGCTATGGATATTAGAAATAACACTATTACGATAAAATTGTTTCAAAAAGTATTTAATTACTTTAGTAATACCGGGATCCTTAAGGATTATATTAACTCTGCTATAGAAAATTACTCAGAAGAAATTGAATTAATTACAGATGAAATTCTAGAAAAAAGTCACAATCAATGTAACGAATACAATTCAACTTTAGAACGTCTCCGAAAATTTTATGAAAAATTCTGTCCTTCTCAATTAGTACCAGATATACAATCTTACCTTAACGATTTAACAAAAGCATCAGCCAGTACAGCACTTAAAGAATCATATTTCGAAAACCATCAGTCAATGCATTCAGTGACTGTTAAAATTATGAATGATTATTATCATTTTATTGACTCACAAACCTTCTATAACGTCTTTCAAATTGAATTGAATGAAGGATTGACAGTCAAAGAAATAATGAATAATATTTTTAAAAAGGTCGTAAAAAATTATGAGATCAAATGTGGAGAACATGAAAAGAAAGAAATCAAATGTACTGCTATAAATGAATTCTGGACAAATGTAAATTCAGAACAAGTCGATAAAGAAGTTAGGTTTATGACCCCTTACTTTGAAAAGTTAAAGTCAAGAGCTCACAATGTCCAAAGATTAATCTGTTCAGTGAAACTTTTAGTTAATATCACGTTAATATTGGAAAGACTACATCAATTAATGATTGTGGTTAAAATTTTGGATATTACTCTGTGTGATCAAGATTTTTGGGTAGAAGAACTGATTAATAACTTGGAAGACAAGGAGCTGCTGCTTTACCAACTATGCGAATCTTTTGATGAACTCAATAAAATTGAAATGACCTTATTGTTGACAAATGATATTTGGTTAGCAATTGAGAAAATTTGTGATTATAAAGATTTTATCATTTTCCTTAAATCACTTGTCGGAGATGATCTTCAAAATTTAATTAATAATGTTGATGAACATTTATATAAACATTTAATTCAACAAAATATTGTCCAGACATTTATTCAGGTAAAACAGATATTGGAACCTTTATTAGATGAGAAAATAGATAATGATGGGCATTCAGCCGTGCAAGAATTCTTTCAAATTTTATATAACATCATAAATAGGAACCCATCTCTAATCTCAAAGTTACGATTGTGTAATACAAATGTCCAAGCATTAAAGTATTTGTATAGGAAGATAACAAATAGAGATGTAACCCAAACTTGGTTAAGAAAATTACGACATAGACAGACACTTAATGAAATTTTAGACCGAATTATAAATCCCAAACCTTGTGCTGCTATTCTTTATTGAATATCACAAACTCAACAACCAATCAGCGATTTTATGATTTATATATTATCATCCTCTTACATCATTTTATCGCTGACTTCTTCTTACATCCATATATGTATTATCAACCTTAAAGACGTTTAATATTTATATTGTCATCCAAAAGCGTCTAGTGCATGATCAGCAAAGAATACCTCACTGGTTTTCTCTAGTGAATTAGAAGTTGTAACCAGTTTTTACGAGATGATATACATACGTATGTATGTCTTTAGGTTCTATATTGGTTCATTATGTTGGTAGATTTCAATAGGACTATATAACAAATGAAAATTAGACTATTAAATTTTAAAAATAGTATATATTTTTTTCTTTTTTTAGTGATTTTGTCAAGATCCAAAATTCAGAAATATTACGACTATGACCATTCTAGTAATAGTTAACTGTTTTTTTCAAAAAGTATAATATCACGTATATATATAACCATTAGCATTAGCAAATAGTATACTTAGTACATTCTTATTATAAAAAAGGGCAATGGTATATTTTTTTTATTATAAAGAGGATAATGATATATTTTTACTATAAAAGAGAACAATGATATATTTTATTTACATAGAATAAAGTGATGCATCTTTTATTTTGGAAAAGTAATATATATGTAAAGAAAATTTTTGTTTTAAATATATTATTTAATTTTAAAAATTTTAATAAAGAAGTGTTAAATAGTATATCAATGAATTCATATTCTTTATTTTTATTTTTTATAAATGTTGTGCCAGATTAAAACCTGCGTCAGATTGCAATCAGTTGACCAACATTAAATGATCGGCAATAATTGGCCTAAAAAAACTAACTTTACCGTAATTTTACCCTAACGCACGACATAAACAACAAAGAAATTATACCGTATAGGCGCGTAATAAAGCGCATGCGATAATTCTAATCATTATTCTGAATTTGAAGAAAAAAGCTACAACTACTAAAACTTTCCCGAGACTATGTATGTGAAGCACGTCAAATTTGCGATTTCAAAATGGAATTTGCCCACGTGCGTATTACGCGCATATACGGTAGCTCATACTAATATGTATCCGCCACATTGTTCCGGTTTAACTATTGATTTAATTTCAAAAAGTAAATGCAAAAATATTTGTTTGATAATTAATATATGCTATTAAAATATAGAATATTGCTAACTTGCCCCCCTTAGTTAAATCACCAGGGGATGCTATATCTCAAAAACGTACTAAGGAATTAAAGTTAGAGGTTCTAAGTAAAAATGTTCAGAACCCAAAAACCTTATGCGTAACAAATTTTGGACCTCTATATTAAATTTTTTATTATGTTATATAAAACCTCTATTTCATATTAAGATTGCACCCTGACCCTAAAAAATTAGAGGTGGTTAACAACACCACCGGTTAAAATTAGTTATTTTCTTAAAATAATATATATATATATGTATATTTTCAGTTTATCGTAAAGAACATTTGGGGTGTTACGTATTAAACAGCTCTTTTTTGCAATTTTTTGAAAAAAAATTTTTATTTAATTTTTGAATAAATATCTATTCAATAAAAAAGTTTACCATAAGTAATAAAAGCTAATTGTATAGTAAAAAGATCCGAAAAATGAATGTATTCCTATTTGTAGATCATTATACGTAACACCCATTTAATAATTAGTTTTTAGATACTCCATTGCTTACAAATTAAAAGTATATAGAATGCTTGTAATTAAATCATGTTTTTCTATATACATAATCTAGAGTCTAATTTTGTAATGCATCCAAATTAAAATAATATGTATAGAATAAATTTAAATTAAATAAAATACAGCATAATAACAGATAAAATATCCATTAACGATTAATAAATAATAACTTAAAGAATTTAATTTCTTCTATATTCACCTAAATTAATATAAGCATAATAAAATTATAGTAAAATTTGACTGGTATACAGTATTTTTAAACAGGTAGATTCAAAAAAATGATTTTATTTCACGTCGATATTTGCAATTGAGAATTTTCTATACTTACACGCTAAATTAATATGAATGAAAAAGAAGTTAAATAGTAAATAATCATAAGCGTATTTTAAACACTTCGAATAACAAATCTTCTTTATAGTTATGCACCAAATCAGTGCGAACAAAATAAATTTAAAATGGCATATTTTACAGTAGATAATAAATTTTATTTATACTTATCTAAATTAAGACAAATAAAAACAAGATTAAATACACTTAGACCATAAAATTTCATCATTATCACTAAATTAATGTAAATTATAGATAGTCATAAACCTGAATAGCATATAAATTATAATAGTCATGCACTAAATTAGTACAAACAAAATTAAATAAAATGGTAAATATTCATAAACTTGAGTAGCTTATTTTAACACTTAGATTAAAAATTTCGTTATAATGTGTTTACCTGAATTAATGCGAACAAAATAAATTAATTGTAAATAGCCATGAATTTGAGTAGCTTATTTTAAACACTTAGATTAAAAATTTTCATTATACTGTGCTTACCTGAATTAATGCGAACAAAATAAAATCAAATAACAGATAGTTATAAGCCCGAACATTCTTTTAAACATTGATCAATTTTCTTTATAGCCACACTAAATAAAGCAAACATATAAAATTAAATGGTAAATATCCAAATCAGCATAGCTTACTTTTAAACACTTAGACAATAAATTTCCTTATGCTTATTTAAATTAATGTAAACTATTGAAAGTAAATAATAAATAGCCACAACATAAATAGTATTTAGATTAATAAATTTCCTTTATACTCACCTAAATTGGAACGAACAAATGAAATTAAATAGTAAGTAAACTCGAGTCTAAAAAACTTATTTTAAGCACTTGTTTTAGTTAAAAACTAAATAGCTCATACTTTGGTAATTAAAAGTTTAAATAAATAATCTTCAAATAGTAACTAGTATAGAAACTTCAGATAAACCACTTAAATTAGACAATCTAAGTTATACATATAATTAATTATACTTTTATTGTAAATATCGATAGGTAATTTGATATTATTTAATTTAATTAATTAAGTATTTAATCTCAAATCAAATTTTAATTTAAACATTTGAAATATTTCATTTGATCAAATATTTAAAATAATTGATTTAATTTATATAATATTATAGTTAAAAATATAATTATAAAATTAAACTAATTTATGCATAATCAGTATTTACTAAAAGGCATTTATTTTTGGTGCACCCTGCACCGTGTGCACCAGGGTGAAAAATTCGATGTGCGCATGTGCGGATCGCACATGAAATTTTCTTATTTTAATATGAAGAAGGCATGTGATCATATAAGTGCGCACATGCTTTTCAAGCTGAATTTTTTACTCTGGTGTGCACCCCTTTGCTATATCTCAAAATTTTACTAGAGTAACCGTTTAACTAATGAACAATGATCCTCTCGCAATTTTATCCTAAGCCCAACTCTAACTCTAACCCTAACACTAACCTAACCTAACCTAACCTAACCTTAACTATTACTAAATTCAAATTTTTTATAGGGGTGCACACGGTGCACCCCTGCACCAAATATAATTTACCTTACTAAAAAACATATAAGGCTATATAAAAATATGAATTGATTTCATAAGCTGGCCGGGTAATGAAAACTAATTGCAAATTTTAACCTTTATAGAGAAATAAATAAAGTGTATGTACCGGTTATAAAAAATGAATTAAATTTAAATATTAAAAGAATAGTATTTTTCGAGTCGTAAATTTAAATTTTATATAAAAATATATAAAAATAATATTTCCGATCTAATCCAATGAATCCAACCAATATAATCAAAGTAAATATTGTAATTGATACATGAGCGGTTCTTATTATTTTTCTATTTATCAAATGTCATCGTCAAAAATTAATAAATAAAGCAACTTTGCTAATTTTGATTGTACCCCAAGTATTTAAAGGGTATTGTCCGATCGGTTGTGGTTAGATTTTTATTTGAAAAGTATATCGCTTATCGAGATCAGTATAATAAATGTACGCTGGTTGATGTATTGTTGATTTATTAGCAAAAAAAGTAATCGGTTGGACGAGAGTTCTAATATGAAAATTTTGAAATTTAGGGTACTTGTAGTGGATGTACACACTAATTATATCCAACAAAAAATAATAGTTTAGGGGATCTTTAATCAGATTTTATCAGTTTTAATGACAAAAAAAAAGGTCAATAGTCAAAATTAGCCAGTTGATAGTTAAGTACTTAGATCTTCATCAATATTAAGTTGGATTGTTGTACCAAATGAAGAAATTTTGATGGAATAGTTGAATATGTTGTCATATGAATAAATGCTAAAAGATGGCAGGCATCTACAATTTTTTTTCAGATTTCCTCACATTTTTATTTTCCGTAAAAATTTTTAGTATAAGGAGTAAGATAGACGTCGAAATAGGGATCCATGACAAAGTTACTTGAGCGACCTTTGATTAATTGCAAATTTTGCCAAACTAAGAATAAAAAAAAAAAGATTTTTGTTATAAAATGGTTATAAATTGAAAATGACAAACTCAATTTATCTCCGACACTTTTTTGACCATCGATTAAGGCGCTTGAGAACGCCCTCAATCCAACCTAATCGTAGTCATTTATGTTTCTATCACATTATTATGCAAGAGACTTTTAAGCTTATCAAGGATACTTATTGCCGTTTTTGATTTAGATGGATTGATATAGTCCCGTGAGTTGCTCAAAAGTTTAGGGATTTTAATAAAACCCAAATTTTAGCATAAATTATAACTCTTCTCAATTTTAAAGCTAATCTTAAACTAGTTTAATTTTTTGTTTATAATTCTGTAATTTATTAGTCGAACGAAGCGAGGGACGATATACAAGGTTTGTTCGTCCAGCCACATCACATGAAGATTATCCAATCAAATTGTGCTATAGATATTAAAACAAATTATACAGAATATGTAATTAATATATTCGCTCTGGGCATACAGTAAAATGGTGCGCATCTACTATATATGAATTTGCAAATCAATTAAATAATACCCGATTAAAATTACGTCAGATTGCAGCTAGTGATCCGCGTGAACCGTTTCTTCAAGGATCCGGACCCGAATCAAAAAATCGGGTAGGATCCCGAGTTATTTGAATTCGGGTCAACCTTAATGACTATCATATGACCAGCATTAAATGATCTGCAATAATCTAATCCTAATTTGGGCCGGGAGTTATCGCAAGGGATGCATCTGAGGCACAACATATATATGTTATAAATAGTTTTTAATAAAATTTTATACTAATTATAATTTTTTAAATGCAGTATGCAATAGCTATTTTGTAAAAATTATATCAGATTATAAATTTATATTTTACTGTAAAAGAAAATTATATACATAATAATTATTAGAATTTTTCTATTAATCAATATTTATAGTTGCTTAGAGATGTTGACTTGTTATTTCGGCTAATCGACAAGAATTTTGATTGGCTAAAAATTAAAGAACCTTCGATGCGTGGTAGTATTTTTGATTAAATACATAAGCTAGTTCAACCAGTTTTGTTAACGATAGCAGCTCGAGTTCCAAACGAGCCTATGTAGTTTTATTCTAACTACCTGACATCTTTAGTTGTACAGTGCGGGACAGCATAAGGCATCCAATCTATATTATAGAGCACCAATTTTTGGTGCTTACATAATCAATTTTGATTGGGTAATTTTGGCATAAATGATTCTAATTGGCTAGTTAATTAAACATATATCTTTATTTTTTTTATTAAGCGTCAACCTTTTAAACTATTATAAACTTTAACTTCTTATAACTTCTTTAAATAACGATAGAAATGTAGTTCAGCTAAAACCTATAACTTTGTCAGAGGGTTTTTTTGATTTACTTGTTTTTAAAAAAGGTATACCAATTTAAAGTTTTTATTAATAAAGAGTGGATGCATTTTGCTGTTCCGCACTGTATATCTCGAAAATTGGTAATGTTTGATATTCTAAGAAAAATGTTTAAACCCACATGCTAATTAAATTTTAACCTCTAAAGACCAACTTTTACCTTAACTAATAACAACGCCCTGCCCTTAAATTTCAATAACAAAACTATATGTGGTATTAAACATCACTGGTATTCTTTTTTTAAACAAAATATAATTTTATATACGTTTACTATATGATGATCTGTTTCCATATCAATTAATATCCGAGACTGGATTTAAATATTACCGCATTTCGCGTAATACGCCCGCCTGACCACCCACGCGTTACTTTGAGCATACGTGTGCTATTTGACATCCGCCAAGGGAAAAACCTGTCATCTGACATTCGTTTATATTTTATACCTTTTTAATTTATTAGGGAATATGCCCGGTACAAAATATATTTGAAAGCCCGATGACAGTTCGAATACACGCATGTGCATTATTTGAGCTATCCGACAAAGGAAGACATTTAAGTAATTGGCTAATTTACATTGATTCAAACATTGGTTATTCGAGACGCACATAAACGTCATTTCGAAGCCATACACATTATTTTTGAAATAACGCTCATGGGCGCTATTACGCTAATCTTCCGATCTCTATGCCAAGGTCATGAGGACTAATGAATAATATCCTGATCCACGTGTGAATAAGTGGAAATGAAGTTTCCAATGGATCAGGGTATTATCAATACGTGTTTCACGTTACACGACTGTTACACCTATCCGCCGAGAAAAATAGATTCGATATTTTTAGTACAAAAAAACAAACTTGAAAAAACCTGCCTAACACCAAAAATATTAACGATTAGCATAGGATATAATATATATTACACAACAAATAAAATTCTTTCAATCAATCATGAAAACCGCTATGCAGTATTCCGGATTATGTTTTAATTCTATAGTCATAGAGTTCTGTAAATATCGTGTGCCCGTGTCTCGTACGTACAGAATCCTTGTCACATATAATAAATGTGGCGTTGAAACTTGGCTGAAACTGGAGCTAACGCATCTGATTGGTTAATTAGTGGTTAGTTTTAAATTTAGCCAAGTTTCACCATGACTGATAATGATAAGTTGCGACATAAAAAAATTATAAAAATTTCTTTTATTATACATATTTTATTGTAATTTTTAATGATATGAATGTGTATAATATTAGGATGTGCAACGAAAAAAAATTCGGTTGCACGTCACCAAGATTTTGAGAACCAAAAAATTTTATGGAATGTAAATACGTAAATGCTTAATACAAAGTGAAAATAAAATCCTGTTTATGAGCATCACGAATGAACGTTAATTATTCTATTATCTGTAATTATTATTATTATTATTATTACTAACGTTACGATCGTATTAATGCTATGTACTATGATTATCTGCAATCGTTATTATTATTTAAAGTTTCAGTTGCTGGTTTTCACAACTTTTCATCCAGTCTGTAGCATCTTTCTTTTCTGTTCTCCTCAAAAGTTCCTTAAATCGATATTTAATTTCTGATCCAATCGAACGGACTGACCCGCAGCAACCGTCATAGAATTCATCGTCATCATCATAAAATTCTGATCTTCGTTTATTGAAAAAACTACTTGTCATTCGTTTCTGTTTGTCAGGACTATTGAATGGGGATTTTATGGGTTGATCAAGTTGAGCGGATGAGGTAGGTTGGTTTTGAGGAGCCGATGTGGTGGAATTAGTAGTAACGTTAGTGGTATCAAAAATTATTGTCGAGCCACTGGGTGGTTTTTCGCGATGAGCTGGTTGGGCTGACATTATAGTCTTTTTTTTAAGCAGAGGTGAATTGGGTTATAAATGCTTATTTTTGAGGTTCGCGTGTTTATTATAAAAGTTTGGTCCAAAGTACAAACTAATGATTTTCTCGTAATTAGAACAGCAAAAAAGCTTATAAATTCGACCGTTGTATTTATAGTTCTTTTCTTGTTATATAGCATCAAAACAAATTACAGTTTATATATAAGTCAGATGACCATTAACATACACTGAATGAGCTATTAAGGTAACATTAATCTCTATGACGCCATATACTCATTTTTTTTAAAAAAAAATAAATAAATAAGGCCATATATCATCGTTTTTACGAATTAGAAAACATATAGAAACATTATATTGTTAATGTATGCACAGACTAACGCTAATATTTAATGATCTAAAATTAGGCTGTAACTTATTTCTATAATCGATAAAGTTATATAATCAATGGCTTAACCATCTCGCATACCGTCATAAATTAGCGCCAAATGGAATTCTGGGTTATTCGAAGCATATATGCACCTACGTACCACATTCTCCATACTTGTGAATAAGAATTCTCATCCCCTAAATCTCTATTGCTATTGCTACTTTATTTCGGTGCGAGTTTTCCGAATGTTTGTGTAAGCTGTTGTTATATGTAAAATGAAATTAATGTTATCATACTAAATTAGTCGCAATCGGCTATTGTTTTAAGAAAAGATATTCTTCAAGGAATATTTCTTTCGTTTGACTAGAAAGTCATCGGCCTACGCAATCCCACGCGTACCACATGACCGACTTTTGATTAAGACTGCGGTATTTGGTTAATATCAAAAGTCTCAGGGTCCGGCCATTGTTTCAAGATTATTAATATTAAAATTTAAGAGTACAATATCAGTGGAAAGCTCCGCTGATGTATCAATTACGATTAGCGCCTGCACCTGTGATCTAAATGCATACCGATGCTTTAAGTGATTACATATATATCGGTCTATCATTTCTTTGACATCCATCTCCCGACTCTTATTCTTATTCTTACCTGAATTGGGATTAGACTAATCCTAACTGTTGGACTATATCGTCTAAATCACAAGATACTGTATTATAACTTTTAATATATTCTAATTAAAGTGATACTATTGCGCATTCGGGCATTACCAAATATAGTGAACGTCAAAACCCATGTTATAGCATGTTATAACCTTATAGGTAAATTTGCCCCGGACATATTTTATTAATGTGGTTTAGATGATCTTTTAGGCTAATTTGTGTAAATAAAATACGTATGAAAGTTGATTAACAAACAAAGAACTGTCTAAAATAATAAAAATTTCCGCTTTTTAGTTTATAATTTACACTAATTTACAACAATATACAAGATAAATATCTTATAATATCAAATTTTTGTAATCTTTATAAATTATACTATATAATAGTGTTTAATACTGCAGTAAAATCTTTCTAGAAGTACACACTCTTTTGCACACTCAAATTCTGGCACCCGGAAAATGTGTACCAGGTCGGGTTCGGATGGTGGTTCGGACAATTGTCTTAGATTTTTTTTAAGTTACGCAAAGACTTTATTTTTCAATTATAATAAAAAAACGAAGTAAAATTATATTTAACGCAATTTCAATGCATATACAATTCGTATATATATACCTTATATGAATAAATTAGAATTTCGACGTTCTAGAAATGCAACTCTAATTTGGTTTGTTTTCTGTTACGTTTTTCACCAAATTATGTATTCGTTTTGTGGTAGATCTTTTCTTACATCAGAAGGGTAAACAATTGCTATCTTATATAAATTAAATATTATTATTAAATAAATGCTTGCTAATAATATTTTTTAAATACTTAGTGTTCTGTAAGGGAATTGTCATTTATCATCAGATTTTTTTTAGCAGGGGGTGGGTACCAAAATATCATGCCAATAGATCGCATGTATATATGTTTATATAATCATAATCATTTGAGGGAGGGGGAATTTTACTATTTACAAAAAATCAGCTGATAAATGACACTTCCCTAAGTATTTATTTTTTATTTTTTATTTTTTTTTAATATTAAGGTGACCACTTAGGCCCTTGGCACTTTATTAGTACAAGCAGTAGGCCAATGTTAATTTTTAACACCGGCTTTACATATTACATCAGTATCACGAGAGTACAACTAGTCACACGTACA